AGAACATATTCCTTGTGGGTTTGGATATATAGTTGTAAGGTATGATGGGAAAACAAACACGCCGGTGATTTACAGAGGTCCCGATGCAGCGGGAAAGTTCCTAGAATATCTACAAAATGAAGAGAGAATAATCAGGGAAAAATTATCGTGTAAGAATCCCATGTGTATGACGAGGGATAATTGGAGGGTCTATAAGAAGTCAACGAGTTGTCACGTTTGTAATAAACCCCTGGATGGGGATTCCGTAAGAGATCATTGTCACGTCACAGGTAATTATCGGGGAGCCGCGTATAACGAGTGTAACTTGAAACTAAAAATGAATTCTCAAACAATACCCATCCCCGTTGTGTTTCACAACCTTAGGGGATACGATTCACATCTCATTATGCAAGCTATCTCAAAGACCGACGGCGGTTTAACATGCATTCCTAATAATATGGAAAAATACATATCATTCTCGTTGACTAAACCTATACATTATAGGGACAAGCATGGGAAATCTAGAATAAAGCAAAGTAATGGGCTTAGATTCATAGACTCCATACAGTTTCTGTTATCTTCCCTTGACAATTTAGCTAATGCGAACAATCCCGATGACTTTGCAATAACAAATAAATATACCGAAAAGATAACTCATCATTTGTTACTGAGAAAAGGTGTATATCCTTACGAATATATGGATGATTGGTCTAGATTTGAAGAAACTGAATTATCACCCCTTGAATCATTCTATAGTAACTTAACAGAATCTAAAATAACAGATGCCGATTATGAACACGCTCTGACGGTCTGGGATAAATTAGGTTGTAAGAATTTAGGTGATTATCACGATCTGTACTTAAAAACCGATGTACTGTTACTCGCTGATATATTCGAGATATTTAGAAAGACATGTTTAAAACAATACGGCTTGGACCCGGCATGGTACTATTCCAGTCCCGGACTATCGTGGGATGCATTGTTGAAGAAGACCGGTGTAGAACTAAAACTACTCACAGATTACGATATGCATTTGTTTATTGAGAAAGGATTAAGGGGTGGTATATTGATGGCAGCTAGAAGGTATTCTAAGGCTAATAATAAATTAGTGGAAGGATATGATCCGAGTAAACCCGACACGCACATATTATATCTCGACGCCAACAATTTGTACAGATGGGCTATGAGTCAACCTTTACCCACGGGTGGTTTTGAGTGGGTCGATGAGAATGATATCGAAGTGAATGATATCCATAATATCAATGTGAATGATGCGAATAAAGGGTACATACTAGAAGTTGACCTGGAATATCCAAGTTCGTTACATAAAGATCATAACAGTTATCCGCTAGCTCCCAAAAGATTAATGGTTAATAAAGATTGGATGTCGGAATATCAACGCTCCTTGATGGGTAATAATAGGTTAGCTAACGTAGAAAAACTCATACCAAATTTGATGGATAAGACAAAATATATAGTTCACTACAAAAATCTCCAGTTGTATCTATCGATATGTACGACACGCGCGATTACCCAAAAGATAATCCACTGCACAGCATAGTAAATAAAAAGGTGTTAGGTAAGATGAAGGATGAATGTGCTGGAACCCCTATAGCGGAGTATGTAGGATTAAGACCTAAGATGTATTCTATAAAGAAGTCCGAAAATGGAGAGATAAGAAAAGCTAAGGGCGTTAAGAAGTATGTGGTAAAAAAGCATATCAAACACGAACAGTATAAAGAATCATTATTCAACGGTAGAACGTTCAAACACGAGATGAACTCTTTAAGAAGTTACAATCATAGGATATATGGATTAAGAATGAACAAGACATCATTATCCCCCTTAGATACAAAGAGATGGATTGATAATGATGGTGTAACTACCTATGCTTATGGTTATGGTGGTAATACCGTACCGTCGGGAACTATGAACAACTCTTCTCGTACAAATGCCCTACCCGGTCCATCTTGAAGATAATAAAGAATAGGCTCTCCTTCTTTCGTAACCAATCGACTAATGTTATATGTCTTAAGGGACCATATGGGATCGGTTGCGCGACGTAGGCCTCCTTTGAGTTCACCTGGCTGGTATAAATATCTTACCCTTACTCTATCCGGAAGTTTTCGTTCTTTGCCTCTCCTCGGTGCTGAAGATTCGGAAGTCACGGATTTCATTTTAATAGCATCGGATGGTTTCTTCCCTATTAATCTTGTTACTTCATTATTCAGCGCTGATACAACAGCTGATAATCGTGTCACCCATTCGGTTGATCTCAATCGTTCCGATTTCATTTCGATCCCATACTGATAGCCAAACAAACGTTCCGCTTATGTCCTGTTAAATCTTTCGACGATAGCTTGACTGCGGTGGGCCTCTCTTTCACCACGCCTGATTTTGACATCGTGCTTTGTTAACAGTTTAGTTATCAATCCCATAAATTCACGACCAGGATCTACTTGAAATAGCTTAGGCCATTTTAGTGGTCCGCGTTTATATATGCGGCTCAGTGCATTAGCTACTTCTGTTGAATCTTTCGAGGTTAATGGCTCAGCCTCTTTGTATCGACTAGCCACATCCACTACGGTTAAAGCGTATTTATACGTTTTGCGTCTTACCTTATCATGGGGAAGAAACAAGAGGTCAGGCTGATGAACTTCATTCGTTGTAAAAATATCAAACTTCTTCCTCGGTATATAACGCGGTGCCGGTAAATATATTTGCCAGATCGCTTGTTTCTTTAACCAATCCTTGGCCACATCTTTAGATACCTTAGCCGCAGTGGCTAATTTTTTTATTGCTCCTATACCTTTCCAATATCCTCGTGGGCTATAGTAAATTTTATTCATTATTAATTAATATTGATGTTTCTTTTAATACAACTCATGACTATCATTGAATCGCATAATCATTTTGGCATAAAAAATGCCACCTGTAGTAGCAGTATAGGTATATGAATCCGGCTCCAGTGGAAGTGGTCCAGAACCATCATTACCTATACTACTCGGCACAGTTTTAGTGCCTGACACGAAGAAAGAACTGCATTTATCAGCCCGGCAGATATCACTCGCGATCTTTGATGTTTTTGCTGCACATTGGTGCCAGCTCTTCTTTAAACTACTGAGAAAATATAATTGTGAGGTAAGATTTGTCCCAGCTGTGAATGGCAAGTTTAAAACCATGATGAAACAATTGTTCACTGATTGGTATGCGGAGAAGGTGTCAACAAACTTGAAGGCAGGCGACAAGACAAAGGCTGTAGATCTGAGGATAAGTGTGATGAAGCCTATCCATGTGCAATGGGTCGTGTAGGCCTTTGACGCAGTCGCAAAGAACAGTGATGCATAGTTTGACACAAGTGAGTAGAACTCTTGACCCCCAGCACTGACAATTCACCGGATTTCCATTATGTAATTTCTTGTGTTTGAATGACATTGTTACTTGTTACAAGTGCTGCTGAATAAACAGTAGTTGTTTGTTTTTGTGTCCAAGTTGGTATTTCTGCTATCCGAAATGTGATTTGAAACTGTCTTATTGTTGACAGTCATTTTGAGATATTTAATTTTACCTCAGGCACATTTTCTTTTTGAAACTTTGAGGTGCTTGTACATCTCGGGGATATCATATCACTTATATCTCCTGTAGGGCCCTGGTTTGAGGACACATTAACCAGTCATGTACTACTGAAACCTTGAGGTGCTTGTACAATTCGGGGATATCATATCACTTATATCTCCTGAAGGGCCCTGTTTTGAGGACACATTAACCAGTCATGTACTACTGAAACCTTGAGGTGCTTGTACAATTCGGGGATATCATATCACTTATATCTCCTGAAGGGCCCTGTTTTGAGGACACATTAACCAGTCATGTCCTACTGAAACCTTGAGGTGCTTGTACAATTCGGGGATATCATATCACTTATATCTCCTGAAGGGCCCTGGTTTGAGGACACATTAGCCAAACATGTCCAGAGTCAAAGTCATAACCTGAAAAAAAACGCCTCACTCAACTGGATTTATTATAAGTTGGCGATGGGGCAGTCGGGTAGCCTAGTTGTTAAAGCGTTAGCTCGTCACGCCTAAGACCCGGATTCGAATCCTGACATGGGTACAATGTGTGAATTCCACAAAGGAGGATCATATTTAGTTTATATATGCTGTAAAGCCCTTTGAAATGTTTGTGAAATACCTGTCACTGACATTGAAGATCAATTTCACTCTCAAGGTCATGTACTCAAAAATGTATTATGCTCCTAAAAACTGGAGAAGAATTTTACTGTAGGTCAGTGAAGCTTGGTATATGGGTGGGGTTCAGGTCGTGTGAACACTAGCTCACTGAGTTGTTGAGGATTATTTTCAATCAATAAATGAGCACTAGCTCAATCAGCTATCTAACAGTCAAATTTCGTGGGTGAGTTTACCATTTCTTATGTATAACAGGTTTAATCCCTCAAAACAAAACAACAACAACATTGCACATAAAGGATTTTACCACAAACCCAAGGGATGACTTCATGGGACAACGCTGTTGTCTAGGTTTCAATGCAAATATAGTTTAATCCCTATTATCCAACTATAAAAACATGTCTCTTAAAATAACATTGTCTAAATCATTTAATTACTGAAACAGTCTAAGTTGCTCCTACAAAACCCAGGGCTCAATCGGCCAGTTGTCAAACCCATGATTGTGGTTTCGAATCCCAATTATGTTTCTAGGTTTGTCAGCACCGTATCCATGCTCGTGATTTTCACTGAAGTGGTAACGTCTGAGACCTGCATCACTTCGGGCTTTCCTCCCACATTAAGCTGACACTCCGCAATATAACTGGAATACTGTTAAAAGCGGCGTTAAACCCAAACTCAGGACATGATAGTGTTTTTACTGCGTTCTTAAGATTCAGGAAATGGAGGGATGGGGTTGCTTCTGGTTTTGCATGTAATGCAAACACCTTATTTGTTGATATATATTTTGTTCTTACAGCTTTATGTCATGAGCTCACTCTCATTGTTTCTTTTTAGTCTTTGTGGAGTGGCTTGTATTTGAGGTGCCAAGTCAATCAAAGACCAGGTGAGGAAGCTTGGGCAGAGGTTACAAAGATTCGTGAATTTGACAAGGAACTGAAGGCAAAGGTTACCAAACTTAGAAGGTATGTAAATTCATTCAATTTTTGCTTCTGATCTGAGGACATCCCATTACGGGTCACATCAGAACGACCTTTCGCGAACTTTGACCGACCACTGAAATGACTAACAAGATGTCAACATCAGCCAATTAGAAAGCAGCTTTACGGCTCTCGTTTCAACCTGGTGACTTCCATTTCAGACTACACTTGAAAAATTTGTTGACACAGTTCTCGATTAAAATTTTGAAAACTGAACAAATGAACACTCCGGAATGTCTAATATATGGTTGAGATTGTATGGCAGTGCTTCCCTCGTTCCCTTCAAATGTTTCTCCAATGGGAGCAAGAGATTGACGATGATATTGACGGAATCAGTCGTACAGGCCGTAACTGTTGTTCGGAATACCCCGATTAACATTTTCGAGGTTGCATGATTAGAAAACACATTTCGACTGTCACTTTCATGATCTGGTAAGCGACACCTTGATTGGTCGGATAAAAGGTCGTTCTGACGGGACCTGTAATGGGATGTCCTCATATCTTTGTTTAGCGATAGCGAGAACTACGATCTGATTTTAATGAGATTTTGGATGTTCTTAAATACATTTTGTCGATTTCCAAAAGATAAAAATGCATGATATTTGTAGAAATTATTCAAATGTCCAAGCAAAAGCGCTGAAATCACATGCTCCATAATCGACTACTAAAATTAACTTATGTGGGGGCGTGGCCTAAAGCCACCAGCACAGCTGTGCAGTGGTACATGACAAATGTTTTCATTGGCTGATATGTAGACTTGTTTGCCAAGAATCTATATCTTGTGATTCTTAGGCGTTGTACACATACTGTGTCTGCTATTTCTGGTAGTTCTATAACAATTTCAACATTGCATACATTGTTGAATGTGTGAAACAACCTTTGATCTTGACATTGTAAATAATTTAATTAACTGTAACTACGTTTTAAGACTAACACAGTCCTGTTCCACAAAATGAATGCACACCATTAATAAGACTGCAATGCAGTTAAACAAAACTGAGGCGGAAGCAGGCAGACTTAGCGCCTGGAACCTGTTTTAACACCAGCAAAGGGAATCCTCCCAATGGCAGAATTTTATATTTAGTTTTATCACCCCCGGCCTCCCATTTGCCCAGTGTCCATTACCTATTACTTACCTCTGATACTTACTTCCATACTATCAGTGCTAATTACGGTAAAGTGTTGGCTTCCATTGTCTATTGTCAATCACCTGTCAGCACCAGCTTCATCTATTGGCTTCCCTTGTTTGTTTTTACCCTTTGTTATTTTCCACCTTTTTAGACAAGAGCCCAATTGTAATCGTTCAATTTATTATTATTATTATTATTATTATTAGGGCTCTATCACTGAAAGGCAAGAGACCTATTGTAATCGTTCGATTTATTATTAGGGCTCCCTGCCTACAAGGCAAGAGCCCTATTGTAATTGTTCGATTTTTTTTATTTATTATTATTATTATTATTATTATTATTATTATTATTATTATTATTCCGGCGTTTTCTTGTTCCAATCGTAACTCAAGAACCAGTAGCCAGAAGCTACTGAAAATTTGTACCAAGATACCTTAGGTCCTGAAGTTATATCCACAAAAATCTCAAGGCTCTAGGCTCAAGGACTAAGGACATAACTCAAAACAATTTCAAAAACGGCAATTTCAGCAGATACTATCTCCGTCACTAAAGCACCAATGACTTCCAAATTTCTTGTACACATGTGCGGAATCAGATGCCCAACAATATCTCTTCACATCCAATGTAGCGAAATTGCTTCGTTTGGCCGCTATATTGGATTAGAGGTTTTTGCACTGTTTTTTACCATTTTCCTCAGTACTTTTCTCCCAAAATGTGCTCAGCTAAATCTACCAGCTCAAAAGCTTCCAAACTTTCCATACTTTGTCTCCAAGTACCATACTACCAAGTTTGCAGAAATCATACTTAAGTCATGTCTTTTCCTGCTGGCCCATGTCCTGGCGATTCAAGAACACCAAACCGTTTGTCTGTAGCTCAATGTAGCTCAATCGGAGCTACAGCGTTTTAAAAATGGTACTCTTTGGCACCCGTCCATAAACTTGCCATATAGCAGAACTCTCAACACCCGTAACTCGGCTAATATCGGTCCGATTTCGACCAGATTTTGTGTGTGTATGTAGAGTGGAGATGTCTGTTACCACTGTAGTGACTAAGGAAATAAGACAACGGAGACAGAAATGATACATAATGTATGTATAACAACATCTTTCAACATATTGCTCCTAACCAGATCATTCAACAACTGGCAGACGAGGCACTCTTTGGTATTCACATGTGCAATTCGATATTGAAATGCAGTCACAATCACAAATCCTACATACATCAAACTCTTATCTCACGTGTTTTGAAAATGTCATTTTGTGGGGATGACAAAGGTGCTTTACGACACTTCAAACATTTTTAAAAGTATAAAGACACTGAAAGAAGCAGCAATAAAATTTACAAGTAAGTCCCGTTCACTGCACTTCAATCGCCAGCAATACTGTGTCCTCTTTGCGCTATACGCTACATTATTGTCGATAGACCAGTGGTATAGGTTTATTTATATAATAAGCTAGTACGTGAGCTATAGTTTTCGGTGAACTGCGTTTGTGTTTATCCGCTATGGACTACAGAAATCAGTTGTCAGGGTCAGTGAGATGCAGTGTAGATACAGCTGATGGACAACGCAGGAAGAAACGGACTATAGAAATAGATTTACATTTGGGCTGCAGTTCTGCAAAGAAAACAGTGCAACTTGGTATAATATATCGACATTGTAGTTTTTGTTTTGTGGAAGCTCATATCTGCATTGGCGCGAATTCACAATACACGTTGAACAAAGAATGGTGCATGCATGCTTATTGGTAACACAGCGTGTCAGCGTACCTGAGTCCCAAGCGGCTTGGTCCGTCGAGTGCATATTGGAACGTGATCCACGTGCACGGTAATGGTATTGCGAGATAGCGGTAGGCTATAGTAAGTTAAATAAGCTGTTGGTAGCGGGTTCATCCGAGAGCCGCGTGTGGGATGCTTAAGTCAAAACATGACCTACATCCCGCCCGAGGTGTTACCTCCTTCATAAATCTTTTTCGGACTGTGGGATTTACCGTAGGTTTGTGATTGAAAGTTTGATATCCCTGAACTCTCCGATTAATTTACTCGTACTTGTCATAATTGTATTACCACAACTTCAAGTATAGTAACAGACGGGTTATATGTTAACTTCATGTTTCGATAGTAGCGATTTCTATAGTCTGTTTCTTTATGGATTTTCTTCACGCTGTTTTCAGTAGTCTCTGCCAGCATAAAGCACGCATTTTTACGTTTGTGATTGAAAGTTTTATATCGCTGAACTCTCCGTTTAATTTACTGGTACTTGTCATAATTGTATTACCACAATTTCAAGTAATAACAGACAATTTATATGTTCACTTCGTTTCGATGGTAGCGACTTTTATAGTCTGTTTCTGTATAGATTCTCTTCACGCTGTTTGTAATACATTCTGCCAGTGGAAAGTGCACAGTTTCCCGTACTTGCACAGTAGATCCATTCAGTTGCTCCCTGTCTAAAAGGATCGTTGTACAACATGTTTGGTTTTTATTTTTATAAAATGCCTTATTTTCCTTGGAACGGATTTTCGCACTATCAAATTACCCTTTTATGATCTGAACCTGTTCATTATTGATAATTCCATTATTTTCTGAAACATCCCAGATAAAATGCCAACTTTAGGGAGTATTATTTACCAATTTCATTATGGTTTACAAACCAGTCCCTTTCTTAACTTACTTAAGTGCTATGATCTCTATTGCGTTTACAGCTAATCTACTGTTAACCTTTGATCACAAACGCTTGGAAGACTGGCGTTTTCTTTGCTGATTGATTGAATTGCTTCAACAAGGAGATGACAAGAGTTGACCGACATGTGTTGTTACTGTTAGATATTGTCCAAAGCCATCTCATCCCTGAGCACAGGTCAAATTACAAGATCCATTTCCTGCATATTACAATAACAAGTCACCAACACCTCTGCATGCTGGTATCTTCCATCCTAAACAGGTCCAGAGCCAAAATGGAAATTTTTTTCTTGGTCAAAACGAACTGGTGAAATATCCTATTGATAATCCAGATCATCTTATACTCGTACACAGTATAGCACATATCCTTCCTCATATCGGAATGCACTTATATAACAACAGGAGAAAATGCCTTAATGGTAATAGATTAGGTCATTAAGAACTCAGTTTCAAAGGTTTTTAGTACTCTGTATAACCAAAGTGCTATTTTGTAAAATGACTTCTATGAATGGAGAACAGGATCCGCTGCTACAAGTTACGATAGGGAGCCTGCCATTACTGCTTGCAGCTATATTTATTATTATTATTATTTTTCCGGCGTTTTTTGTTCAAATCATAACTTAAGAACTACAGCTCGGAATCTTTTCAAAATTGACACCAAGATTCCCAATGTCCTGAAGCAGATACCATAGGCCGTAGGCCCAAAGACCAAGGGCAGATAACCAAAAAACAAGTATTTTTTGAAGATTTATGTTACCCTACTGCTCCCCAACCGCTTGTCTGATTACTTTCAAAATTGGTATTTGTCTGCTGCTTTAGGTGCTTGACATTTTTTGTTCTTTAAATTTGGCCATTGGTCACATGGTTTGGCAGCCATATTGAATTCAAGGTTTTCACGGTGTTTTTGGGTACATGTCTTCAAAAGCATAGAACTCTGAATCCACTTAATGAAATGCTTCCAAACTTTCTGGGACTTGTCTCCATACACAACACATCAAACCTTTGATAGCTGTCTTGGGATATCTTTTTTAGTTGAGGTCGTATTGGATTTGGATTTTGATCATTTTTTCGCAGACATTTTACTTTAAAGATCATATCTTGTTAGGTTCTTCACAGAAACAACTGAGACTTTACATTAAGTTACTTAGTCATATGAACCTCATTTTTTTTTCTTGGCTGTATTCTAAAAGTAACAAAGTTTGGTTGTAATATTTAAAAACAGATTTGAGTGCAAACACTGAAGCACTCGTAAATCTAGGTAGGATTATCTCCCTTTGACTGTCGACTACCCTTAAAGATGAGGGTTAGAATTGGTCTTTAGCAACCCATGCTTGTCTTGAGAGGCGATATTTAATTTTGTTGTCCTTACCTGTACATATACATGCTCTCTGCCTCATGGCATTCATTCACCTGATGAAGGAGTAAGCATATACTCCGAAACGTTGTGTTCCTGATAATAAAGAAGTTGACATCCATATATTCTCTTCCTTATGTGTATCACTTCTAAATGCCTTTCAAAGACCAAGTTTTATCACAATTTCTATTTTTCTGACCAAGCAGACATCTCCTATGCAGACAGCACATTCTACGCCCCTTGACTCTTTGTTTTGTTTTTGGACTGGTAATACACACATCAGCTAATTCTATTCTTCAGGTCATACGTTTAGCCCGGGAAAACCCTGTAAGAATTCAGAAGTGAGTTCTTCTATGCTCACATGACCTTATTTGACAAACCCATTGAAGCATAGGTAACCCACATCGATTAATTACTTATTAACTTTATATTTGCATGATTTGTAGACACTAGAGTTTTGTGTTATAAATTGCTTTGATTCTCTGTACTTTCAGACAACTGGCAAGCTTGGAGAAGGAAGCTCTGTCTGCTGGTGCCATTCTTCCCTCTACACTCGACTGACTGGAGCAGCTGTAGCCTGGATGACACCATGGAATGAATAGGACGTCTGTTGACCCACCGTATTAGCTGACCTAAACTTTCTGTTTAACTTTGCTGATGGCGTAGCAGAGGCAATCTCATACATCTGTTTTATCCATTCATCATAACGTTTACATTTTGGACATCTCTTCTGAAACTTAAGGCATAAGAAGCTGAAACTATGTAAGGATGACTTCACCTATGGTGTCCTAAAAGTTGCTCACCGAAATATGGGCTCCAAGACTGCCATTATACATATTTATGGCCATTAATCAGACCTGATGTGTTCTCCTGCAGGAAATGCTTTGGCATTAGGTTTTTATCTGTGTCTGTTAGTATGTATAAATTGGCGTTTTCTCAAACTTTGACACATTCTTTTTGCTTTTGTTCCTTTAAAACTTTTTTCATTGTGTAATGGATAGTTTCATGAAAATGACTTCATATTTTGTAGATATATTGGTGAAAAACTGTTTCTCCAAATGTAGAAACGTTATTGCCCTAGTTGTCTGTATGTGGTAGAGCGCAAGTTTTCAAGCAATTGTCTTACCTTTGCAAGTGAAAGACATAAGAGGGAAACTTGTGCTGTATCATTGCCTGTCTGTAAGTGAAGTTATTGTTGTTACCTCACAGGATAACTCTCATACACTGTTCCACAGATCTGTAAATGTTCCAGTATAGAATAGTAAGAATAGACTCTCTGCCTTTGTAAATCCATCCACACACACACACACACACACACACACACACACACACCCACACCCTATTTATAGTAATGGAGCCTCCTACCTCACTGACCACAAATATGATTAGGAATGTAAACTTTCAATCAAAAGTTGTGTTTGCTTATAGTTTTTGCTCCCTTGAACCAAAAATCAAGTGAGCTTATGTCATGTTTTTTTTTTGTCTGGTGTGCCAAGCTGAAACTTCACTTAGTTGTTTGCACCAATTATGACACCACAGCAGCCTTGATTTGACCACTGCACTTCGACTGTATTGAAAGCTGAAACTTCTCATGGCCATTACCAAGTCATTTTTGTTCCGAATGTGATGACATTTGGTTTGTGTGTAATTAGTAGGGGGCTCAACATACATGTTCCATTTTTTCCCCATTTTTAAATTTTGACCTTGATTTGACCTTTGACATTTGGCCATGCTCTTATATCTTTAAAAATGCATTTCTTCCCACTGTAAACATTTCCTCAAAAACCACTGGACCAATGAAGCTGACACTTCACATTCTTCTTCTGACCAATAAACACAACCCAATTTGTTCAAAAGGTTTGAATCTGATTTTCAGTATAGCCACTGACAGCAACTTGTTAAGTGACTGTCTTTGTTGACTGTTGTAACTGTTTTCCAAGTGAGCTGTAGTGCTGTTGCCTTTTGGGGGGTACAAAATGTAATGAGATTTAGTATTTGTTTAGGTAATTTTGGGCAGTGTGTTCTGTTTATTGCAATATTTTTTAGATTAGACCTTGCTGTAACCATTCACTCCTGTTATCTCACAAAATGTATATTTGGCTCTATAAACTTCTTTTCTGAAGCTAAGCTGAAGTTTGGCATGTATGTTTCTCCATCAGATTTTGTGGAAGGTCTTTAGATTGTATCATTACTTTTGTGACCTCAGTATGTATACTGAGCAACAAAAGTTCCTGTGACATTGAATAAGATTTAATGCAAAGTTAGGTTTTTTACCAAATCTGAAACAATTTCGACTTGCGACAGATAAAAGACTCCTGTAAGTGTTCAAATGGTTTAATTTGCCATACTGACTTCAGAAAATGCGTGATTTCATAAAAGAAATTACAAATCAATACGTGTGTGTCCACCTCTGGTTGTGATGCAAGCAACACATCTTCGTCTCATGGAATGGACCCGGCGTCGCACAAAGCCCTTAGGGATATCTGTCCATATTTGCTGGAGCTTGTTTCGAAGATCCTGGAGTGTCTGTGGAATACATGGTTGACGTCGAAGGCGCCGATCCATGTCATCCCACATGTGCTCGATTGGTGAGAGATCAGGGGAGCGAGCCAGCCAGGGGATGACATTCACTTTGTTTTGTTGAAGAGAATCCTGAAAAAGTCGAGCAATATGAGGCCCGGCATTCTCATGTTGAAAGGTAATGCCTGGGGCATGACAACGCAAAAATGGTGGAACAGGGCTGATGATCTCGTCGCGATAGCGCTGTCCATTGCGATTTCCTTCTACCACTGTCAAACGGGTCCTCTGTCTTGCTGTAATCCCTTCCCATATCATAACGCTGCCGCCCCCGAACCGATCTTCTTCCATGACACAATGATTGACACTCGAATCCGTCCATTGCTGTGGCTGATGTGAAAACGAGACTCGTCAGTGAATAGAACTTGTCCCCACTGCATGGCCGTCCAGCATAGACTCTGTCTGCACCACTGTAGATGTGCTTGACGGTGGTTTCCTGTCAAAATAGGACGTCTGGAGGGTCTTCTGGCAACAATCCCTACACATCTGAGGCGACAACGTACAGTTTGTGAAGATGTTCGTCGAAGGCCAGAGATGCTGCTTGTAGTCACTGTTACTGGCTGGAATCGATTTTGTAGGTGTGTTGTTTGAATCCAGTTGTCTTGTCGATTATTGGTTACGTGTGGCCTGCCACTGCAAGGATGGTCTCTGACTGGATTTGTCTGTTGCCAACGTTGCCATAAACACCAAATGGTGTTTCTGTGGACATTAAATTGTCTTGCAACACCACATTGACTCGATCCTGCTTCAAGCATACCAATGGCTCGCAGACACTCATTTTCGGACAGGCGTGGCATTTCGTAATGTTGAATAATTGCGTAATTTTGTTGTTTTTCTAAGTGGTTGTTGTCAGCACTATGCTAAACAATGCATATGGAATCCTGTTAACGCACATGTTTTTATACCCATTCTTGGGTAGTGAAATGCATGGTGCTTGCATAAAAGTAAACTTTTGCATGGAATGCATCCTTTTCTGTAGCAGTTGCGTTTTTGTGACTTGATTCCATAAATGTACTACAATACTGAAAACCAAACTTTACTTGTTTGATAAATACACTAAAATATTGGTGTCACAGGAACTTTTGTTGTTGAGTATTTATTGAAAGTAATTTAGTGAAAAAGTTTTTCACTCACTTGATTTGTACATGAGTATTGACTGTGATGTTACAGATAATGATGTGCTGAAAATAAATGGGTAGAACCTTTTTTTCTGATATTGATTTATTGCACTTTGGGAAGGACAAATTCCAACATTCAGTCACAATTCCTGAAAATGACAATCCCTTTTGAGAGAACAATTTCATGCTTGAGAGTAGTTGTGTGCCCCACTACAGTACTGTTATAGCCCGGCTACTAGGGAATATAGGACTGGAAGTGACGTCATCAGGTCACGTGACCTGCGCAGGGCATTGTGGGTCATGCGTACGCATCCAAGATGGCGGCACATCCGTTTCCGGTGGCGCGCCTCCAAGATGACGGCACATCCGTTTCCGGTGGCATTCGCACCTCCAAGAGGGTGGCACATCCATTTCCGGGGAGGAAGGGGGTAAAACCCAGAGAAGCGCTCAAAGCATGAGGATGAAAAGCATTCTTTCGGGAGAGATGGGTGGCCCTGAAAAGGGCCATTTTGGGGAAGAAGTCGATCACTTCTTCACCCACATACACTCAGTGGTGCAAAGGCACGGGTGGGCTGTAATCTGTCGTCTCACAGGACACTTACTTGTGTGAGTTAAACGCCTCATATACATGTCCTTCAAGATGGTATTACAATACACGCACTGGAATGTTCCATCCCGTGCCTTTGTCCCAAAAGCATACACAGGCAGGCAGCCTTGACACTTGTCGCATTGCCATGGAGGAGGGTGTGGCAATGCTTCTGTCTCCAGGGTGTGCAACTGGAGTCAACTCAAAGTCCAAGTTTTCTGTGTTATTTTGCATGCTGCTGCTGCTGCTGATGATATCATAGAATGCAGTGTGAGTGGCTTCGCTCTTGTTTTATAGGAAAGGGAATGACACCCTGCTTCCTGGTTGGTTTCCCACGCAGCGGCTCCGATTGGTTCGTTCCGATGCCTGGCCTGCACCTCACTTTTCCAAACTGGACCGACCCCTGTGTTTCTTTTCCATAGGAAATGGATTTTACCATGGGAGAGAAAGCACAACCCCGGTTCGACCAATCAGAGGCCCAGCATGGTCCGAGCGCGGCCTTTGATTGGTCGACAACCCAGGCTTCTGATTGGTCAGATTTCGATCCGTTTTTTTTCTTGGGTAGTCTTGGTATTTTTTAGGTAGACGGTCGTCTGAATGCTAAAGGTGGACCATCATAGGTAGACATGAACGTGATGTGTGAATGCCTACGTGATGTACGTTGTGTCCCCCCCATGCAAATCGTGATGTCATGTGTTTGTGTCTTCAAACAGACGTTTACGTTGATCCATAGGATTATAGGATTATTTTTCCATGCATACGTGATGTACTTCATGTCTGTATGCACACTTGGTGTTTCACGCGTGTCTATGCAAAACGTGGTGTCATGTGTGTGTGACTACAAACATTTATTTAGTATTTAGATGGATAGAGAAAGATCGATAGACATACGTGGTGTTTCACCCGTGTCTTCATGCAAACGTAGTGTCATGTGTGTGTCTTCAAACAGATGTTGATCCATATTATTGTGACGTTGTCATTCGTTTATTTATACCGAGGTGTTGACACTCGTGTAGGTCTACAGGCGTACTGTCACACGTGTTTCCATGCACACGTCATGTACTTCATGTTGCCATGCAAACGTGGTGTACTACGTGTCTCTATGCAAACGTGGTGTCATACGTGTATTTATATATATATATTTATTTTATTTTGAGACGTACAATTGTGGTGTCACGCATAGGCGTGTGCCTCCAAGAGGACTGGGGGAGGGTGTGGGTTCTTTTGGATTGTTGTTTGGGTTGGCAAAGCAAAGGATGAAAACTTTCTTTCGGAGAGATGAGTGGCCCTGAAAAGGGCCGTTTTGAAGAAGAAAAACTTTTCTGCTGCTGTCAAAGAAGAAACATCATGTCCAATCTTATTGCAAGACAAGCGGAACTTGTTGTCATCTGGGTATACCATCTGGGTATGCCATCTGGGTATACCATCTGGGTGCCCTACGTGGCACCACTTGTGGGTCCAACAAAGAAAAAAGTTTGTTGGTAACACGAAGCGGTAATAGTCATGATCGGAACGGGAACAGGAACGCAGGAAACGGGAAACGTCATCCTAGGCAGCCGGTCATGCTACACCATTCGTGTTCTTCTGATTCACATTCTCCTCACAGAGATAGTGTAGCTGTAGCTTCTTCTTATGTCTCACCAGACCGGTTAGTTTGAGGTAGTCGCAGTGTGGGGACCACTTGTGGTGTTCCACCCAAGGATCGTCGTGGGACGCCCATCGTCTCAGCCGCACACCACATTGGAAACAGTACACGCCATCAGCACCCTGAGTGTAGACAAAGCCCGCATGGGCCATCTCTTCAGCAGTTTGATTCATTTGCGTCGGCCACGCCTCAAACGAAGCAAGCCTTCCTTCAAAGCGTAGATAATAGGGAGATGGTGTGTTACTGAGCGGCGACATCTTATCATCAGGATCCGTACTCTTACTCCAGCATCCACGAGTATCTGCACTATCAGTCACCATATCTCCGTCACACCCGTCTTCGTACAACTCTTCTTTGTCTCAACCATTCTTGATGCGATGATGATGATTTTCTTTTTTCACAAGTGACACTGACCCACTCGAGTGGTTTGTCTCTTGTTTTATAGAAGAACCTGATCGAAAATCGCTGCTTCCTGATGGGTCCAAAACACAGTGCGCTGATTGGTCCATTCCAGTGCCTGACCTGTACCTCAGTTTTCTAAAACGACCCGACCCCTGTGTTTCTTTTCCATAGGAAATGTTTTTTTCCATGGGAGAGAAAGCACAACTCGGCTCAGGTGCTGTCTTCTGATTGGTCGGTGCTGTCTTCTGATTGGTCGACAACCCAAGCCTCTGATTGGTCAGGTTTTGATCCTGTTTTGGGGAAGGGTTGTCTATAAGTCAGACGTTCAGTCAATCTTATAATACAGACGTTCATCAGACACGCATCGCTATCATGACGAGTATGCCTTATCATTTTGAGAGGAAAGACACCACACGATCCAGACGATTAAGAACTGCTAACCATACCTATCGTTTGACTTTCAACTCAGACTACTTGGACACCGTACCACCGGACCGCGTTCCCATTGAAGTGCCTGCTTTATTTGACAGAGTGATCGATGACTTTTATCAACAGATGTCAGGCCAGAAGGGAGATCGTATTGGTCTAGGTATCGGTCATCCCGCTTTGAACACCCCCATACACATTCCCTTTCGTAGCTTTGAAGATGTCCATGGACTGAATATTTTACATGCCATGGAAAAAGTTCAACAGTCCAACAAAGACCTGAACATCGATGTCACCATGGTTGTGACTTTAGTACACATAGCAGATCCCGACAGGCTAGGATCACGCAGCGGCCGTGTGAATAACGTGGTTGGACTTGAAGCCTTTTTAACACGCAAAAGGGGTATTGTATGGATCAAGAACGAAGAACAATCCTGTTTGGCAAGGGCCCTGGTGGTGGCACAGCATTATGGCCAGAAGCCCAACCCTCTGACCCAAGAATGGTCCACCCAGCGAGTGACACTGACGAGAACGGATCGTGTCGACATCCAAGGCATACGGGCACGGGACTTGTTTCGGCGTCTTGGCCTGCCTGAAGGTCCCTGTCAGGGCCTGGATGACCTAGCACGCATGGGACGCGCCTTGGCCCACCTGAATTATCAACTGAAAGTCTACAGTCAAGAGGTGGACCAGAGACTGATGTACAAGTGTGATTAGGCTCCACCCATGCCACCGTGCTGCATTTATATCATCATGATCAGCACTACGATGTGATCACTTCCATGCCAGCTTTTTATGCGTCTAAACATTACTGCGAACGCTGCGACCAACGTTACGACCATGCCGAAAAACATCCCTGCACCAAGCAATACCGCTGCCACCGCTGCCTCCACTCTAGCTATTGCGGACCCAAGGAAGAGCACGGGATCCCTTGCTTGACATGTCAACGTTGGTTCCCAAATCAACAGTGTTACACCCAGCATCTCCAGTCACCATCAGAGGGAAAACCCAGTGCCTGTCAATCGATTCACAGGTGCCCAACCTGTTTTCAGCTGGTCCGCGTCTTGGAGACCCCCATGGCTCACCACGAGTGCTCAGATGAAGAACATCCCTGCTTAGTGTGTCGAGAACCCATGACCCCAGACCATCGCTGTTACATGACACCTCTCCGTGATGCCCACGAGGAAGAGGAGGAGGGGGAAGAGGATCAAATACGAGACAACATCAAATACGTCTTCTATGATTTTGAATGCATGCAAGACACGGGGGAACACATTCCAAATTTGCGCGTGGTGCAGTTAGGATGTGGACGATGCATCAGTGAAGTGAACAAGGAGTTGTGCGAACACTGTATGTGTGTGTGAGGTTGACAACGCTAGCTGAAAACCCCAAGAAGAAGAACCAAGAGGAAGAGGAGGACAGCACACGCAAGGGGGCAACAGCACGCCTTGGGAAAAGAAAACGGGATTGAACCCCCTCAAGAAAGCACTCTTCAAAACGTCAACG